ACGAAAGCAATGCTCAAGGCCTGATTTCTGTCTGTGGATGAAAGCTGTGTGGAAAGTGCTAACTGACTGGCTGTGCAGAACTATAGGGAGACCCAAATTCATCAGCAACCACTAAGGGGTAGTGCTACACCTGTATCACAGTGCTAAAGATGTTGAAACTTTTTGTACTTTGTGTACCAGATATGTTATGTCATGACTACTGGGCTTAGATCTCCATATGTATATGGCATATGACCATCTTGATGTATATGCTACCTTTTTTATTTGGAAAAACTTGCAATAAAGAAGAAGCATATAAAAAAAAAAAAAACACACTCGGCAGTGCGGGTTGTCTTAACTGCTGTAGCTGAACTTTTGCAGGACAGTTTGGCCTGCTACTGGATGAGGAAAAACAAAACTATGTTATGGGGGAAGCAGAGAAACAAAAATAAATGTTAATGCTTTTGGAAGACTGGATTGCATTTGTCATTTTGATGTTGTACATCAGAAGACTACAGGACCATTCAGGAAATGCAGCGCTACTCGCATATGTAGAGTGGGTACCCGGCTGTGAAGCCGCAACCTGTCACAGCCGGGTGCCCACACTGAAGATGCCGGCCTCCTGGAATACAGGACGGCCGGTGAAACGGGCTGCGGGGGGACCCCGACTGCACTTGGGTATTTCCGTTATGATATCTCTTCCACGGACACCACCGCTGACCATACGAGACTAGAGAACACCAGTCTTTAAATAAATCAGAAAATAGACTACTTTATTTTAACACAGATACAAGATATATACATTCAAGAGAACAACCCCCCCCTCCCTGCATAATGACACAGGGTGGGGCAATCTACCTTTAGTAACAAGAGACACACCCAACAGACAGTCCCATCAGGAGGGAGGGCTGCCTGAAACACCCCCCACCAAGCCAATACACAAACACATACATCCCATAATAGTTTGCTCCCAAGAAAGACACACAACACAACAATGGGATGCAACCACATGGCATTAAACAATCAACAACCCACCACCTATCCCCTAGACATGTCTACACAATATGAGAACAGATCACCCTGTACCCCTAACAGGCACAGGGTGACTTACACATAAGAGGGATATGGGGAGCAGAGACAGGGGTCTCCCCACCTCTCTAAAGTGAGCTATGTTCCATGGGCCCCCCACTCAACGTGACTCCCGTCACAAGCAGCTACAGTTTTTGTAGCTGCTGACTTTTATTTTTTGACAGGGTGAGTGGAACTCCACTTTAAAATGAGATTTTCAGGACAGGATTTCATGGTATACCCCCCTTCTTCTAAGGTCCTTGCCATACCGATGCACAGGGATAAGACATGTAGTGGCAGATCACACCTATGCCCCCTGCTGTAGAAATTTGATTTTGCAGTATCATTTTAAATAGTTTTCCCTAGGAAACTAATAGGGTACATATTGCTGAACTCCTTCTCAAAATGTTAGTTGTCTGACTTGTATGCTTACCCTCTACCCACTACACTTTCAGAGTTACAGACACAGAACAAACACAAAAATAGTTGAGATAAGTCAGAGATAAGTCAAAAGTCCTACTCTGTATACCTACTCCATATTTGGCAATTGTTATTATTTATTAGTCATATTTACGTAGCGCTGACAATTTGACAGATCACCGTACAAACACATGTTGGTGTGGTGATATCCCCCACTGTGCTATTGTATTCTGACAGTTTGGCTCCCCCAACCATAATACACTGATCAGCACTTGCAGCCATTGGCTGCAAGCGCTGATCGGATGCTGGTTTTCCAGCATGTCCCTTTGACAAAAGCCGGTCATTAGACTCACTTCTGTTGGACAGACAGCTGTATGCACTGACCAAAAGTTAGCAGGTTCAGCAGGATCTTGTGTTTTTTGGCCAGTGAGTACCCAGCTTAATTTGCATTCATAAATGCACATAGAAAGGCCAATTTAAAGGGGAACTTTTGAACCACTGAAACAGGTTGGCTTTAACCGAATGTGACATTTAACCAGTTGCGACCGCAGATAGCTGAATGACGGCTACACTGCGGCCGGCCAGTTCTGGGAGGGCGTCATATGACGATCGGTGCCCTGATGATTGGTGCCCAGCAGTGCCACCCACCAGTTCCACCCACCTTTGCCCAGCAGTGCCACCCACCAGTGCCCAGCGGTGCCACCCACCAGTGCCCAGCAGTGCCACCCACCTGTGCCCATCAGTGCCACCCACCTGTGTCACCCAACTCTGCCCATCAGTGCCACCCACCTGTGCCCATCAGTGCCACCTTCCTCTGCCCATCAGTGCCACCCACCTGTACCCATCAGTGCAGCCCAGCAGTGTTGCCAGTCAGGGCCCAGCAGTTGTGTCAGTCAGTGCCCAGCAGTTGCGCCAGTCAGTGCCCAGCAGTGCCGCCAGTCAGTGCCCAGCAGTGCTGCCAGTCAGTGCCACATATCAGTGCTGACTATCAGTACCCATCATCAGTGCTGCCTATCAGTTCCACCTATCAGTGCCGCCTATCCATGCCACCTCATTAGAGCTGCCTGTCAGTGCCACATATCAGTGCCCTTCAGTGCGGCCTATCAGTGCTGCCTTTTTTTTTTTCAAATTTTTTGCTTTTTTTGTTTTTAGCGCAAAAAATAAAACACCCAGTGGCAAGTAAATACCACCAAAAGAAAGCTCTATTTGTGAGAAAAAAACTGATAAAAATTTCATATGGGTGCAATGTTGCATGACCACGCAATTGTCAATCAAATTGCGACAGCACTGAAAGCTGAAAATTGGCCTGGTAAGGAAGGGGGTATAAGTGCCCGGTAGGGTAGGGTGGGAAGGGAAGGAAAGAGGAGGGGAATGGATAGAAGTAGAGTGTATAGACCTAGAGGAGGTAATTGAAAGTAATTGAAAGGAAAATAAGACAGTGGTATGAAAGGTTAGAGGAGAGAACGGAGAGCAAGATTGGAGAGAACAGAAGCATTGAAAAGCCGAATGGAAATAAAAAGTAGTGGATGGAAGAGTAAGAGTTTGTTTACACTAGTGGCAGTCTTTGCTGCTCCTCTGAAAAGTGATCTGCTGTGGATCACCATGCCACAGCCACTTCAGTGGATCATGTTTAGCGGTGGTATTGCCAGTAGAATGCAAAATGGGGTATAATTTTTAGCCACGGCCACATCAAAGGGCCATCCCCCTCCTTCTCTGTTAGGTTAAAAGAGGCAGTCAGGGGGTAATAAAACCGCAGCTCGACTTCGACTGCCTATTTTTAACCCACCTCTCCTGGCCATAAGTGTGATTAAGCCCTAGAGGAAAGGAAGCTAAAAAAGCAAAAACATCAGCGTAAGCAATTTGAGTACAGCAGAGCCTGTTAGACTGAAAGTAGGCCTAGAGTTCAGCTTTACACATAAATATGAAATAAAACAAAGAGAGTCAGTCTAAGAAGGGGCAGTACAGTGGCTAAATGGTTAGCATTTCCGCCTCGCAGTACTAGGGTCGTTGGTTTGAATCCCAACCACGGCACCACCTGCCTGGAGTTTGTATGTTCTCCTGTGCCTGTGTGGGTTTCCTCCCAAACTCCAAAGACATGCTGGTAGGTTAATTGGATCCTGTCTAAATTGGCCCTAGTATGCGTATGTATGAATGTGAGTTATAAAAGGGTGTTTCTAGGCTTCAGAGAGACTTTATATTAGTGCAGAACACTGTACCTTTAATTTAAATGCCCTTGGAGTCTGCTGGGGAAGAGAAATAATACTGACAGTCAGTATGACATGCAGATGAGTGCCGTCGATCTTAGAATCACCGCACACTTCACTCATTTGGGCAGTCACGGGGCCAAAACCAGAGTGTGGAGCCACAGTGTGGCGGTGGAGGCAGCAGCAATGGGAGGCCATACAGCACCCTATGACAAAAATGGAAACCACCAGCAGTGTGAGGAACCTGAAAGTGGCACATGGCAGAGTGTGGCATGAGACAGCAGCAATGGCGATAGGGGCCCATGACAGCAGCAATGGGAGGCCGTACAGGGACCCATGACACACTCTGGACCTGGCAGCAGCATGAGGAGGCGGTACAGGGGCCCATGACAGATTACGGGCCTGGCAGCAGCATGAGGAGTTGGTACGGGGGCCCATGGCAGATTACGGGCCTGGCAGCAGCAATGGGAGGCCGTACAGGGACCCATGACACACTCTGGACCTGGCAGCAGCATGGGGAGGCGGTACAGGGGCCCATGACAGATTACGGGCCTGGCAGCAGCATGAGGAGTCGGTACGGGGGCCCATGACACACTCTGGACCTGGCAGCAGCATGAGGAGGCGGTACAGGGGCGCATGACAGATTACGAGCCTGGCAGCAGCAACTTGGACAGGAGGACGTTCAGCTTCTGCACCGTCGGGTGCGTGCTCGCAAACTGTTGTGTCTCTTGGAAACGGATTCCAAGAAAGACTGCTGACGGAATCCGTGAAGAGGAGTAGCAGGAGAAGGAGCATCTGAACGAGCGGAATATGCCAACAAGCGACAACAGGGGCCCATGACAGATTACGGGCCTGGCAGCAGCATGAGGAGTCGGTACGGGGGCCCATGGCAGATTAGGGGCCTGGCAGCAGCTATGGGAGGCCCGTAATCTGCCAGCACCCTATGACAAAAAATGGAACCCACCAGCAGTGTGAGGAGACCTGAAAGTGGCACATGGCAGAGTGTGGCGATGGAGACAGCAGCAATGGGAGGCCGTACAGGGACCCATGAGAGACTCTGGACCTGGCAGCAGCATGAGGAGGCGGTATAGGGGCCCATGGCAGATTAGGGGCCTGGCAGCAGCTATGGGAGGCCCGTAATCTGCCAGCACCCTATGACAAAAAATGGAACACACCAGCAGTGTGAGGAGACCTGAAAGTGGCACATGGCAGAGTGTGGCGATGGAGACAGCAGCAATGGGAGGCCGTACAGGGACCCATGAGAGACTCTGGACTTGGCAGCAGCATGAGGAGGCGGTAATAGGGGCCCATGGCAGATTAGGGGCCTGGCAGCAGCTATGGGAGGCCCGTAATCTGCCAGCACCCTATGACAAAAAATGGAACACACCAGCAGTGTGTGAGGAGACCTGAAAGTGGCACATGGCAGAGTGTGGCGATGGAGACAGCAGCAATGGGAGGCCGTACAGCATGGGGCACAGCTTGGACCCGTAATGCAGCAGCATGACAAAAAAGGAACACACCACATGAGTGAGGAGACCCTGAAAGTGGCACATGTTTGGGGCATGATTCATGGCGGATTTAGTCAGTTGTGTCAGGAACTGGTGGTTTGAAATCCAGACTAATCCACGCCTGATTCATTTTTCACAAACGTGAGTCTCTCCACACTTTGGGTGGACAGTCGTGTCCTCCGCGGAGTTGCAATACCTCCTGCCGCACTAAACACGCGCTCCGATGCCACGCTACTATCTGGCCGGGCATGACAGCCTTTCAAGGGCAAATTCAGCTAGTTGGGGCCAAAGGTCAAGTTTCGTTGCCCAGTAGTCAAGGGGATTGTCTACCTCGGTTGGCAGGGTGCTGTCCAAGTAGGCCTAAGCCTGTTGTTTGAGGTCCTGCTCCAGGTCCACCTGATGCTGCTGCTGCTGCTGCTGCTGTGCTGCTTAGGCCCGTAGTTCCTCACTGCGCTGGTGAAGAAAGCTACTCATCATCGACTGCAGACTGAGGCAGCCCTGCTGCTGGTGGAGCTGCCACTGCTCCTACCACCCCACCCCTCCCCTGCTGCCATGGCAGCGGAACGCGAGCGCGCACAGGGCCCACAGTGTCTGAGGATGGACGTTGGCGCAGACAGGCAGAGACCAGCTGACTACATAGGTGGTTTTTATAGTACGTTATTTTGGCCCTCCCTCTCAGCAGGTGTGAAAAAGGCCACCATTTTGAACACGGTAGCGAGGGTCCAACAAGGTGTGGACAGCCAAAAGTCATCCCTCTGTCTGATGGTTATTATTCGGCTGGTGTCGCTACGCAAGCAAGCCGAGCATGCTATGGGCCATTTGTGCCAAGGAATGCGAGGGACTCCCCCTGCCTCCATCTCCACAGCATACTGCCACGGTGCGTCTGGGTCCTCTGTCTCCTCCTTCCTCCTCCTCTACCAGATGCTCCTGCTCCTCCACTCCTGTCCGCTGAGTGGAAAAACCACCCATTTCACTCAATAATTCCTGAGCACCAATGTCCTCCTCTACCTCCTCCTCTTCTTCCTGTCCTGCCCCCCACAGGGGTCATGTGGCGTTGAGATCTGTGCGCCACGTCTACCGCACCCTGACCAGCCATTGTTAACAGCATTTGTTCCAGGACGTGCAACAGAGGAATGACGTCGTTCATCCCCATAGTCCTGCCGACTCACGAATAGCGTGGCCTCCTCAAAGGGCCTGAGCAAGCGCAGGTGTCACGCATGAGCTGCCAATGGCTGACATCTAAGTTACACAGGGAGTACCTTTATCCGCTTTTAACATCAGGAAATCTGTGATGGCCTTTTGCTGTTCGTAAAGGCGGTCTAACATATGTAGGGTTGAATTCCACCTGGTTGCAACAACGTCACAGATGAGGAGTCGGTACTGGGCCCATGGCAGATTACGGGCCTGGCAGCAGCAATGGGAGGCCCGTAATCTGCCAGCACCCTATGTCAAAAAATTGAACACACCAGCAGTGTGTGAGGAGACCTGAAAGTGGCACATGGCAGAGTGTGGCGATGGAGACAGCAGCAATGGGAGGCCGTACAGGGACCCATGAGAGACTCTGGACCTGGCAGCAGCATGATGGAGGAGGCGGTATAGGGGCCCATGGCAGATTAGGGGCCTGGCAGCAGCTATAGGAGGCCCGTAATCTGCCAGCACCCTATGACAAAAAATGGAACACACCAGCAGTGTGAGGAGACCTGAAAGTGGCACATGGCAGAGTGTGGCGATGGAGACAGCAGCAATGGGAGGCCGTACAGGGACCCATGAGAGACTCTGGACCTGGCAGCAGCATGAGGAGGCGGTATAGGGGCCCATGGCAGATTAGGGGCCTGGCAGCAGCTATAGGAGGCCCGTAATCTGCCAGCACCACCCTATGACAAAAAATTGAACACACCAGCAGTGTGAGGAGACCTGAAAGTGGCACATGGCAGAGTGTGGCGATGGAGACAGCAGCAATGGGAGGCCGTACAGGGACCCATGACAGACTCTGGACCTGGCAGCAGCATGAGGAGGCGGTATAGGGGCCCATGGCAGATTAGGGGCCTGGCAGCAGCTATGGGAGGCCCGTAATCTGCCAGCACCCTATGTCAAAAAATTCAACACACCAGCAGTGTGAGGAGACCTGAAAGTGGCACATGGCAGAGAGGCACTGTGGACCTGGCAGCAGCATGAGGAGGCAGGTACAGGGGCCCATGGCAGCAGCATTAGGGCCCATATGGGGGGCCTGGCAGCAGCTATGGGAGGCCCGTAATCTGCCAGCACCCTATGTCAAAAAATGGAACACACCAGCAGTGTGTGAGGAGACCTGAAAGTGGCACATGGCAGAGTGTGGCGATGGAGACAGCAGCAGCAATGGGAGGCCGTACAGGGACCCATGAGACACTCTGGACCTGGCAGCAGCATGAGAGGAGTGCGGTATAGGGGGGCCCATGGCAGATTAGGGGCCTGGCAGCAGCTATGGGAGGCCCCGTAATCTGCCAGCACCCTATGACAAAAAATGGAACACACCAGCAGTGTGTGAGGAGACCTGAAAGTGGCACACAGCAGCAGAGTGTGGCGATGGAGACAGCAGCAATGGGAGGCCGTACAGGGACCCATGAGAGACTCTGGACCTGGCAGCAGCATGAGGAGGCGGTATAGGGGCCCATGGCAGATTAGGGGCCTGGCAGCAGCTATGGGAGGCCCGTAATCTGCCAGCACCCCTATGTGAAAAAAATTGAACACACCAGCAGTGTGTGAGGAGACCTGAAAGTGGCACATGGCAGAGTGTGGCGATGGAGACAGCAGCAATGGGAGGCCGTACAGGGACCCATGAGACAGACTCTGGACTGGCAGCAGCATGAGAGGCGGTATAGGGGCCATGGCAGATTAGGGGCCTGGCAGCAGCTATGGGAGGCCCGTAATCTGCCAGCACCCTATGACAAAAAAATGGAACACACCAGCAGTGTGTGAGGAGACCTGAAAGTGGCACATGGGCATGAGACACTGTGGACCTGGCAGCAGCATGAGGAGGCGGTACAGGGGCCCATGGCAGATTAGGGGCCTGGCCTGCAGCTATGGGAGGCCCGTAATCTGCCAGCACCCTATGACAAAAAATGGAACACACCACCAGTGTGTGAGGAGACCTGAAAGTGGCACATGGCAGAGTGTGGCGATGGAGACAACCCACCGACTGTTTTGCTCGCTGCCAAGCTGCCACCCTCTTTCTCCTGATGATGCCCTGAGTAAGCAATAGCCTGATGACGACGAGGCTGCCAAGTGCGATCAGCCTCATCATCATCAATTAGGGTCTCCGCCTCACTACTAGCCCCCTCGGCTGCGTGTGGGTCAGGAGACAGACCTGTCTCTAGACCGGCTACCGAGCCACTCTCTCTCCCGCCACTACTTCTTCGCCTGGCTGCTGAAGAGGCGGATGTCTCCCCCCGTTCCTGACCGCCCTCTGTTAGCTCTTCCTCACTGTACTGGATGACACCGGGAGCATCTGCCACCCTGAGGCTGCGAATAGTGCTGCCTCGACCCCTTCCTCTGCTGCCACGTCTGCTCGCTCCTAAAACATTGCCTCCTCTGCCACTCCTCTGCATGTTGTCTGACATACTCTTTAATTAAACGATTCTGTGTCCCTGAGTAACAATTCTGTGTCTGTCCCTGAGTAACAATTCTGTGTCCCTGAGTAACAATTCTGTGCCCCTCAGTAACATTCTGTGGCCCTCAGTAACAACAATTCTGTGTCCCCTAGTAACAATTCTGTGTCCCTCAGTAACAATTCTGTGTCTGTCCCTGAGTAACAATTCTGTGTCCCTCCTGAGTAACAATTCTGTGTCCCTGAGTAACAATTCTGTGTCCCCTCAGTAACAATTCTGTGTCCCTGAGTAACAAATTCTGTGTCCCTGAGTAACAATTCTGTGTCTGTCCCTCAGTAACAAATTCTGTGTCCCTCAGTAACAATTCTGTGTCCCTGAGTAACAATTCTGTCTGTGTAACAATTCTGTGTCCCTGAGTAACAATTCTGTGTCCCTGAGTAACAATTCTGTGGCCCTAAGTAACAATTCTGTGTCCCTCAGTAACAATTCTGTGTCCCTCAGTAACAATTCTGTGTCCCTCAGTAACAATTCTGTGTCCCTGAGTAACAATTCTGTGTCTGTCCCTGAGTAACAATTCTGTGTCCCTGAGTAACAATTCTGTGTGTCCCTCAGTAACAATTCTGTGTCCCTGAGTAACAATTCTGTGTCCCTGAGTAACAATTCTGTCCCTCAGTAACATTCTGTGTCCCTCAGTAACAATTCTGTGTCCCCTGAGTAACAATTCTGTGTCCCTAAGTAACAATTTCTGTGTCCCTAAGTAACAATTCTGTGTCCTGTAACCCTGTGTCCCTAACAATTCTGTGTCTGTCCCTCAGTAACAATTCTGTGTCCCCCTGAGTAACAATTCTGTGTCCCTAAGTAACAATTCTGTGTGTCCCTAAGTAACGTTTCTGTGTCCCTAAGTAACAATTCTGTGGCCCTAAGTAACAATTCTGTGGTCCCTAAGTAACGTTTCTGTGGCCCCTAAGTAACGTTTCTGTGGCCCTAAGTAACAATTCTGTGGCCCTCAGTAACAATTCTGTGGCCCTCAGTAACAATTCTGTGTCCCCTGAGTAACAATTCTGTGTCTGTCCCTGAGTAACAATTCTGTGTCCCTCAGTAACGTTTCTGTGGCCCTAAGTAACAATTCTGTGGCCCTCAGTAACAATTCTGTGTCCCTCAGTAACAATTCTGTGTCTGTCCCTAAGTAACAATTCTGTGGCCCTAAGTAACGTTTCTGTGGCCCTAGTAACAATTCTGTGTCCCTGAGTAACAATTCTGTGTCCCCTCAGTAACAATTCTGTGTCCCTCAGTAACAATTCTGTGTCCCTCAGTAACAATTCTGTGTCCCTAGTAACAATTCTGTGTCCCTAAGTAACAATTTCTGTGGCCCTAAGTAACAATTCTGTGGCCCTCTGTTCTGTGGCCCTAAGTAACGATTCTGTGGCCCTCCCTGAGTAACAATTTCTGTGTCCCCTAAGTAACGTTCTGTGGCCCTCAGTAACAATTCTGTGTCCCTCAGTAACAATTCTGTGTCTGTCCTAAGTAACAATTCTGTGTCCCTAAGTAACAATTCTGTGGCCCTAAGTAACGGTTCTGTGTCCCTCAGTAACAATTCTGTGTCCCTCAGTAACAATTCTGTGTCCCTAGTAACAATTCTGTGTCTGTCCCTGAGTAACAATTCTGTGGCCCTCAGTAACGTTTCTGTGGCCCCTAAGTAACGTTTCTGTGGCCCTAAGTAACAATTCTGTGGCCCTCAGTAACAATTCTGTGTCCCTCAGTAACAATTCTGTGTCTGTCCCTAAGTAACAATTCTGTGTCCCTAAGTAACGTTTCTGTGGCCCTAAGTAACAATTCTGTGGCCCTAAGTAACGTTCTGTGGCCCTAAGTAACGTTTCTGTGGCCCTCAGTAACAATTCTGTGTCCCTCAGTAACAATTCTGTGTCTGTCCCTAAGTAACAATTCTGTGGTCCCTAAGTAACAATTCTGTGGCCCTAAGTTCTGTGTTCTGTGGCCCTAAGTAACAATTCTGTGTCCCTCAGTAACAATTCTGTGTCTGTCCCTAAGTAACAATTCTGTGGCCCTAAGTAACGTTTCTGTGGCCCTAAGTAACGTTTCTGTGGCCCTAAGTAACGTTCTGTGGCCCTCAGTAACAATTCTGTGTCCCTCAGTAACAATTCTGTGTCTGTCCCTAAGTAACAATTCTGTGTCCCTCAGTAACTGTTTCTAACGTTCTGTGGCCCTAAGTAACGTTTCTGTGGCCCTAAGTAACGTTTCTGTGGCCCTAAGTAACGTTTCTGTGGCCCTCAGTAACAATTCTGTGTCCCTCAGTAACAATTCTGTGTCTGTCCCTAAGTAACAATTCTGTGGCCCTAAGTAACGTTTCTGTGGCCCTAAGTAACGTTCTGTGGCCCTCAGTAACAATTCTGTGTCCCTCAAGTAACAATTCTGTGTCCCCTAAGTAACAATTCTGTGGCCCTAAGTAACGTTTCTGTGGCCCTAAGTAACGTTTCTGTGGCCCTAAGTAACGTTTCTGTGGCCCTAAGTAACAATTCTGTGTCCCTCAAGTAACAATTCTGTGGCCTCAGTAACAATTCTGTGTCCCTAAGTAACAATTCTGTGGTCCCTAAGTAACGTTTCTGTGGCCCTAAGTAACAATTCTGTGGCCCTAAGTAACAATTTCTGTGGCCCTAAGTAACGTTTCTGTGGCCCTCAGTAACAATTCTGTGTCCCTCTCGTAACAATTCTGTGTCTGTCCCTAAGTAACAATTCTGTGGCCCTAAGTAACGTTTCTGTGGCCCTAAGTAACGGTTCTGTGGCCCTCAGTAACAATTCTGTGTCCCTCAAGTAACAATTCTGTGTCCCTAAGTAACAATTCTGTGTCCCTAAGTAACAATTCTGTGGCCCTGAGTAACAATTCTGTGGCCCTAAGTAACAATTCTGTGTCCCTCAGTAACAATTCTGTGTCTGTCCCTAAGTAACAATTCTGTGTCCCCTAAGTAACGTTTCTGTGGCCCTAAGTAACGTTTCTGTGGCCCTCAGTAACAATTCTGTGTCCCTCAGTAACAATTCTGTGTCTGTCCCTAGTAACAATTCTGTGTCCCCTAAGTAACGTTTCTGTGGCCCTAAGTAACAATTCTGTGGCCCTAAGTAACAATTCTGTGTCCCTAAGTAACAATTCTGTGGCCCTAAGTAACGTTTCTGTGTGTAACTAAGTAACGTTTCTGTGGCCCTAAGAACAATTCGTTTCTGTGGCCCTAAGTAACAATTCTGTGGCCCTCAGTAACAATTCTGTGGCCCTCAGTAACAATTCTGTGTCCCTCAGTAACAATTCTGTGTCTGTCCCTAAGTAACAATTCTGTGTCCCTAAGTAACGTTTCTGTGGCCCTAAGTAACGTTTCTGTGGCCCTAAGTAACGTTTCTGTGGCCCTCAGTAACAATTCTGTGTCCCTCAGTAACAATTCTGTGTCCCTCCCTAGTAACAATTCTGTGGCCCTAAGTAAGTAACTTTCTGTGGCCCTAAGTAACGTTTCTGTGGCCCTAAGTAACGTTTCTGTGGCCCTCAGTAACAATTCTGTGTCCCTCAGTAACAATTCTGTGTCTGTCCCTAAGTAACAATTCTGTGTCCCTAAGTAACAATTCTGTGGCCCTAAGTAAAGTTTCTGTGGCCCTAAGTAACGTTTCTGTGGCCCTAAGTAACGATTCTGTGGCCCTAAGTAAACGTTTCTGTGGCCCTAAGTAACGTTCTGTGTGCCCTCAGTAACAATTCTGTGTCCCTCAGTAACAATTCTGTGTCTGTCCCTAAGTAACAATTCTGTGCCCTAAGTAACAATTCTGTGGCCCTA